GGGTGGCCCCCCCCAGCCTGTCAGTCCCACTCTTCCCCCTCCCGGCCACTCTCCTTCCCTGCCTTTTGCTTCCCTGGGTGCCTGCCTGTTATGGTTTGAGAAATCTATAACAACTTGTTGTCGTTTAGACAAACATCCTATCACCTGGTGACCCCTCCCCACCTGGGGAAGGGGAATTGGGAAAAAACAAGGAAACCCAGGAGTTGAAATATACACAGATTTAATAGAATAAGATTAGATAATTAACATTAATAGCACTAAAGAACCAATATTGATGCCAATAGCGATACAAAATATACAAAAATTATACTCAGCCAACTATATCAGTAGGAAGCTGTGCACTCCCAGCAGTGGACAGTAAATGTCAGACACTGCGAGCACTATGGCTTCAAGAGGAAGGGAAGGCCTCAGGGGTCCGGCACTGGGGCAAGAAGTTCTCAGGATGGCAACCATCAAGGGAGAGAGGGAACTTCGCAGCAAACTTTCTAATTTATAGTGAATGTGATGTTCATAGTATGAAATAATCCTGTTGGCCAGCTTGGGTCAAGTGCCTGGGTCTCGCTCCTCCTCGTCCCTGCACCTGGCAAGCTTGAAAACACTGAGACCTTGAAACCCACACACCATAGCTGTCTACAAAGTAAATATTTTCACCAATTCAGACACTAGAGTCTTCTAAAAGTGCAGTTTTCCCAAGTATTAGAAGAGAAATTAGTCCTGTGTCACTCAACCCAGGACACTGCCTGGCCCCAGCACACACCCCCATGGGGGGTCCAGAGCATTTCAGCAGGGGCTTGTAGCTTGGAAAGCAGCAGCTGGAGATGGACTCGATGCTCAAGAGTTTCAGCTTGGGTACTCAAGGGATGCTGTGGCTGGAGGAGCTGACACCCTCTCTGGCTGCACTAGCCGGTACATCCCAGAGGAGGTTTTACCCCAGGGAGTGAAAGGGGGCAGCCAGTTTCAGTGCTCACATCTCGGGGGGTCAACTGAAACCTGGGGAAGAGCCACAGAAGGGTTGTAGGAGCTGGAAGAAGTGCCTCACTGTACGTTCAGTCACTTTGATCTATCAGGTAGAGGCCAACAGCAGGGACTGACTGCATGCCCAGGCACGCCAGTGAGGAGCAGTCACCAGCTGTGAGCATCCCAGGACCCCATAGAAAGTCACATCCAAGTCTTAGCATCCCCCCGGCAAGAGCTGGCTGCTCCTGCCTGGCTTGGTCCCGGGAAGGTACCTGTGCCTGGGAAGAGCTGCGTGCTGCATCCCATTGAGGGCACGGAGTCACTGGGCTCCTCTCCCAGTGAAGCTTGGGCGGTCCTTCTGCAGAGTTGCTGTTCAAGCCCCCGGTGCCAGAGGATGGGACCCTGCGGACCAGCAGGGGCAAGTGGAGGGACAGGCGTGTGGTGCGTGCTGGGACAAGGTGATAATGGCCCACCTCAGCCCTGCAGGAGGCTGGACAAGTTGCCATTGGCAGGATCCAGAAGTGTAGAAGTGTTATAAAACCTGAATCTCCTGAGCCTTCATCTGGGACTGTAGCTGCAGAGCAGGAAGCAAACAGGATCCCAGCTGGCATTGTGAAAACAAACACCATAAATCTGAGGAAGTGCTGTGATTGCTTTTTTAGGCACTGGGGAGCTTGGCTCCTGCTCCCCACAAGTGTTTTATTTTCTCTCTAAACAGCAAAAGAAAAACCCAACCCCAACATATCACTGGGCGGACTGCCCCAGTGCTGCCTCGGGTCCCAGGGAGGCTGCGGGATGTGGGCACAGTGCTTTGAAGATGCTTCAGCCCCAGAGCCCCCAGGGCACTGGGGCAGGGTGCAGACAGCATGCAGGCAGATGCCAGCTCTGAGCCATATCCACTCACCTGAATGCTCACCGCTCATCAGAATGACTGGACCCTGGGGAGAGCTGAGCAGGGGGGTCAGAGAGAGCTGGGCAACCAGGAGCCAGGAATGGGGACAGGATGGGACAAAGTGCTACCCAAGGAGTGACAGCCAGCTCATACCATCCTGCCTTCCGCAGCTGGTAAGCCAGACAGGATAGCTACTGGAGGCTGAAAGTACAAGTGGGATCAGAGCTGACCCCATCAGGACTAAGCAATGAGGCTGTTGGTCTAAAAAGGGGACAAAGCAGAGGGGACATGATGAAAAACTTGATGTCATCTTATTCTGCAGGCTGGCTGCCCGCTGGATGGAGCTCAGTGCCACAAGAGGAGTGTGGGCTGGGAGGCGTGCTGGCATGCCCTGTGTCTCCCACGGGTGTCCCTGGGCTCAGCACCCACACCCCAACCCTCCTTGCAGGGGAGAGTTGTTTCCACCTCATGGGTTGGGCACAATGTTTTGCAAGGGTTCTACAAGCCTGGGTTGGATGGTGTCTGTGGGTCCCCAGCTGTGGGATGGTCTCTGCCCACCCCAGGCTGGGTGCCACCTCCCTGCTGCTGGTGGCAGGCAGGGCTCCACAGTCTGGGCAGCCCCATGCCATGGCTCCCTTGGGCTCCCTTGCCCTCTTGCCCTCCCTCGCATGGTCTCATCCTCCCTTGCTCGCCCCCATGCTCCATCCCTCTCCATCATCCTTTGGCACTCTCTCAGGCCATTTATTGCAGCTGTGGCTGCTCTGTGCCAGGCCAGGTTTTGGCACCAGTGGGCTAGCCATGCATCCCCACTGCCCTCAGCACTGGCAGGGTGCTGGCACCCACCCTGGCACTCCAGAACCCTGGCACCCCAGGTACCCTAGCACCCTAGGTTTGCTGCTGCCCATGGCTCTGCCTGGGCTCCCCTCAAGGGAAATGTGCTGGGAGGGCACGGGGTGTTTAGGAAAAAAGGCCTTGTCACTTGATGGCCATCCCGGGAAAATAAAAACATCCAGGCAGGCAGCCACCCAGCGAGTGTGAGAGGCCATCACTCCATAAATCCCCCGGAGCAGGTGCTTTGCATGATTTGGCCAGGCTTCCAGAATGGCACCAAAAATCTGGGGCAAGAGTATCTCTCAGCCACACTGAGGGACACTGCCCCTGCTCCGCCAGGGATGTGGGGAGGCATTCC